AAGATGGATTCTCGCATGATCTCAAGGTTAGGTCGGACAACCTGTCATACAAACTACTTTCAAGCATACTGATCCTTCTTCTCAGAAGATGCAGATCTCATATTTAAAGTTTCTCCCCTGTATAACCACAGCTAGGCAGCACAACCACCAACACTAAAGACATTAGGCAGTCAAAAGCAGCACTATAACCAATTACCAGCGACAGAGAGGAAAACTAATTATGAATTACAAACTTAGTGACGCTTTGGTGCTCCTACCCTGGTAAAGGAGCTGCATCGCTGCGTTTGCAAATTATATTCATAGTGTGGCAGAATGGGCTAGGCTGATGGATTTATAGGACGCACACAGGCACCCTTTATAATAAACAACACTCAGGCTGGATGCAAATAGGAAGTGCCTGTGGGCATGCAAACACTGGGTAAATAGAAATGACACACAGAGCCCAGGGATGATGGATTGCAGGTATATATTGACATAAATAAAAATGATAATGAACATCATAACACAGTAATCATTCCTCACATTGGATATTTTTTCACACCTATTTGAGTCAATTGTACCAATGTTAGCAAGAGGAGGAATTTTTCTTTTTCAGAGGGAGATCCGATGCTAAATTGTCGACACTCAAGCAGTGACTCAGCAGACAGATTTCTTGGTCCTGTAGCTTGAACGAGTGCACGCATTGGTGGTACTGTGGTCACCGTGATCATCAAATGAGCCATGTAGGACGCCAGGAGGTGGGCGGACAGGAGACCACCACCGGCTGCGTGTGTCTGCAGCTGCAACGCGGGGGGTCTTGATCAGCGCTTGCTCCTCATGTAAGTCGTTGATGGGTATGCTGGGAGGGGGTCTAGGCCCGGTGACGTATGCAGGTCACACGAGGACCGCCGATGCGATGTGTGCATGGGCGAGGTCCATGTCGTGACGCAGGGTCAGGTCCAGGGCGGCAGGGAACGTGTGCAGTCTGAATGAACTGGTGTGTGTGTGGTAACTGGGTAGGTAGGGCATAAGAGGAGTGGCTGGGCTGCGTGTGCGAGGGCGGGTGAGGACTGATCCTCTCTGAGGCGGGGGGTCCGGGTATTCGAAAGTCACGAGGAAGCGTGAGAAGCCGCTGATGTCTGGTCCGGGCCGCCTCGGAAACCCGCCTCCGTCGGAAGCCTGACACTCGAATGGACCAGCATGCCTAAGTTGAAACGAGGAATGTGCCAGATGTTAGGCAAGGTTCATGTTCTAGTATCTCTGCGCCGTAGCCAACACGGCAGTTTGCTGGTGCTGAACAAGAAGGTTTGATTTGTCCTACACCTTCTGCCGTGCCACCGTCCCCTGGCTTCCCCGTCTCTCTCTGCGCCCCTCTCTGTGTGCGTATGTATCACTCATGCTCTTCCCTTGTGCTCTAAGAAGGTGATAGATACTTTGCGGAATCGATTACCCCAAGGGACTGTATACGGCAGAGCAGACACAGTACAGGTCCTATTGGCGTGGCCCCGCGTAAAGCATTGGCTTGCGAGGGCGCGGCTGTGTGCCCGTGTATTCGTCTCGTGGTGGGTCAATAAGTGCGGAGACAGGGTATGGTCCAGGAAGGTATATGAAGTTGAGAAGAGTAAGAATGACATTTAAAGAGGTCGGATATGATATGGGGGTCGGGTCGTGTGTGGTGGTGGGGGTGGGGGTGGCGGTGGGAGGCACCAGCCATGTGTGTGCACCCGTCGGAGTGGTCAGGAATGACTTAGATCATGGAAAATTAGGACGGTCCTATTTTTGCGTACCTTGCGTACTCTCTATTTTCTGTTGCTACCCAGGACGGATGGCTAAGCGCGTGCTGTACGCGTCTGATGAAGGTAGAGAGTTGGTGAGAGGCGCTAAAGGCTATCTTTTATGGTGTACCAGAAGGAATCTGGGCGGTAGCTTTTTGAAGAGTCGGCTTCTCAAGTTGTTCTTCAAGGGCATAATGGGCTTCAGGCAGCCGATATTGCGTACTCCTGTTCCTCTGAAATG